ATATATATATATATATATACAGCATTTATTTATTTAAATGTTTATACACCTCAAATATGTAGTATGGGGTATTTTTAGATCTATGTTCAGTTTCATTTGATGTTAAGAATATAGATAAATAGATAGATTGAAGAATCTCTAGCATCTGTGTTCATTGTATAACTGATTGTCTGGCAGGTTACATCCTCTACTACACGCTGGATAAGAACATGCCCATAGATGACTGGGTGATGGAGGCGATCAGTGGCGACCGGCTGACCCACCAGGTGGCTAATCTGAACCTTGACACCGTTTATTACTTCAGGATTCAGGCCAAGAATGCCAAAGGAGTGGGCCCGCTGTCTGAGCCTGTCCACTTCAGGACTGCCAAAGGTCTGTGCATGTGTGTGTGTGTGTGTGTGTTTGTGTACCTTAAGACCTGCTTTGTTTTTAAAAGCATTCTTTTGTTTTATATTTTATACATTTTATGACTCTCTCTTTTTTCTCTTTCAGTGGAGCATCCTGATAAGATGGCCAATGATCAAGGTAGGTTTTTTCCTGTGTGTATGTCTTACATTATGGGGACCAAAACCTGTTAACACACTCACATTGTGGGGACTCAGCCATCCTTGTGGGGACCAGAGGTTGGTCTCTAAATTTTAGGGTGGCAACATGGTTTAGGTGTTAGGGTCAAGGTTAGGTGTTAGGCAAGTAGTGGTTATGGTTAAGGTTAGGATAAGTCTACAGGAAATGAATGTACGTCAATATAAAGGCCCCACAAGGAATAAAAACACAGCGTGTGTGTGAGACCAATTTTTTTTTTAGATGCCACTGATGTAAGGACAGTCCTCACAAGGCAAGAAAAGTTTATTTGTACAGCACATTTTCATACACAAAGGCAATTCAAAGTGCTTAACACAATGCACACAGAAAGGTAAATCATTAAAATACATTCAAAATGCAAACAGAACATTAAAATACATATATCAATAACACTTTAGAATGCAAATTAGATTAACACATTAAATGCAAAGTAAAAGTAAAAAATCACTGGGTTAAGGAAAGAAAAATAAAAGCAGAAATTAAAAGAGATAAAGTAAAAACTTGGGTTGAATTAAGCTTAGTTTTAAAAGAGGCTACATTTGGGGCAGATCTAAATTCTAATGGGAGCAGGTTCCAGCTGTGGGCAGCGTAATAGCTAAAAGCATTTTCACCTTGTTTAGTTTGAACTCTGGGCACCTTGCAGAGACACCTACCAGGCACCTACAACTTCAAAGGGTTATTTATGGATTTAGGTTTCAGGCTAGTATCAGGTTTAGTGTTAGAGTTGGGATCACACATTTAGTTTTGATAGTTAAGGTAAAGGTAAGGGGCTTGGGAATGCATTGTGTCAATAGCCCCTTTCAGACATGCACTTTGTTCCATTAATCTGACGACATCTGAACGCCAGTTTCATGTCTGATTTATATTGTTGCTTAGCCTAAGCAGATTGATCTTGAATTGCATCACATATTTGTGAGTAAATTGTGACATCCTGTGATTCAAAAGTTACTGTTTATGCTAAAAGTGCAACTGCAGCACCACTTGATGACCATGTGATTGTATGCAGTATTACAGGATTTACAGATGCCCTCATAAATTCTCCACTGAGTTTCAAAGTAATGCTGAAGTTAGATTTTTAATCCACGCATGCACCATGCAAGTCTTGTCAGTCTCTTGTGCTAATCATAGATTGCACAAAACGCAATTGATCTACAGTTGTTTCAAAGTTATATTTACATTTTAGTGCCATTTATAAGTGAAATGCAATCACATATGTGCTTGGTGTCCCTGTGAACTGTGTCCAGACTCATTCAGATGTCAGTGATTATCAATGATGGGTAGTTGTTACCTCCCTAAAGAGTAAAAAGTGGAGAATAGAAAGGAGAAATAGAAAAGGATGAAGCAAAGACAGATGTACTGATGAAAAATCAAAGGAGAAAAAAAGGCAGGAAAATGCAAAAGCAGGAAGCTGGATTAATTTTTCTTGTTATGTAAACAAGCTTGACTCATCAAGCTGAAGGAAAGTTGTTTGTTAATAGGATGGCATAAATAATTTTTCTTTTGAGCGAGAGAGGACAAGGAGGCTTTTGAAATCATCATCAGACATATGAGTGGTGATGGGAAGATGCTGTTTATCATATTTAAGTTCATCAATTAACTCAGCCATAATTAATGTTGTGTTCTCTGGTTCTGTTGATCAGCTGCAACAAACAAGACTTGATGCTGATGACTTCTCAAAACTTTTTTAATTTGCTTCATTAAACTTTGAAATCTCAGCAGCACAGACAACATGATCAATGGTTTTATAGTTGTAATGTTTAATATCTTTTCTTAAGTCTTTGAATTTAAAGTGTAAGGAACATTAGTATTATTCTGAAACAGATCCCCCATTACCATTAGTTAAATTGATGATATGCACAGAAAGTATCTTCATGCAGTGTTGTGACATCAGGCATAGCATATACTGTACCTGCAGACAGCCCCAGTGCATGCTGGGCTTAAACCAAAAATCAACACTGACTCTAAGGGTGCTGTGAGACTACACAGCAGTGCTTTGGGCTAATGCTAATTTTAGCATGCTTAACACATTCATCATGCTAACATGCTCTCAATGACAGTGCTACGGTGTTGATGCTAAGCGGGTGTGATCTTATTCACCATTTCAGTTCAGCCTTTTTGCATGCTAATATTTTCTATTTGGTAGTAATCACAAAGTGTGGTTGAGGCTAACGGTACCACAACCTCAGACTTGAATGTGTTGATTTTCATCCCAGCTGCTTCACATCTAACTTGAAGACAGTCAATGTGCTGTGAATTTGTACTGAGAATGCCAACACAACTCTCACCCTAGATTGGACTCAGTGACATAGAAACTGTCCTAGCTCTTGTTGTTCATTTGTCATTAACAAAGTACACCAATCACCCATAATATTAACTGCAATGTTAGTGTTTTGCTGTCCATTTAACAGAAACCAGCATGTTTTCCTGGTTTAGCTAATGAAGTAATTCTGCTCATTTTTGCTCAGTCTTGGTCCAGTTTATGTCGCACATAACGCTGCAGTCCGTGTAGCATTTTAGTGAGAAGTTGTTAAAATTTACGTCATTGACAGAACTAGAAAAGTGGGAAGTTGTTCAACTATCAAAGCTCCATGGGCTCTATATTCTATATACATTAGTTCTGGAGCCAGTTATAACTGCTCCACTACCTGACTGCCACAATTGATCACATATGACCTAGTTTCACAGACAGGAGGGGCAAAGAGGAGCAAAGGGAGAAAAGGAGGGGATACTGCTTGCTTACCTCAGTGATCTGAGACAATGGCACAAGTCAGCAACACTCCGTAGGTCATCAAGTCTGTTTTTTCTTGAGGTACCGAGGTCTAGGTACAAACCCTGGGGCGATTGTAGTTTTGCCATGGAGACCCCTAAACTTTGGAACAGTCTACATCTTAATGTTAGATCCACCAAAGACCTGGCTGTTTTTAAATCTTTGCTTATTTATTTTCCATGGCTTTTAATGCCTAGTGGAGTCAGATATTCTTCATTGTTTGGTTTTATTTCATTTGTGTTTAATTTCTTCTTTGGCTTTAAATTTTTATCATGAGTGAGTTTTATATATTTTTATTTTAATTATGTAAAGTACTTTGGTCAACAAAGCTTTGTATAAATACATTTTGATTTATTGATTGATTGATTGATAATGTAATGGCTGATTGGTGTAATCTGCCTAGAGGTTTCAGTGCTTGAAACTCGGCTTAGAATGAATCTGGAGCTACTGTCAGGTCAATACGTCCTGTCTCCAAATGCACAAATTTTCAGTGCAGCAAGTGCAGTGAAGCGATTCATGCATTGGGACACTGAACCAGAGACACTCAGCTTTGGTGTCAGGGTTTAAATGGTGCTGTTTGTCTCTGACAGATGTGCGTGCATGTGTGCATGTGTGTGTGGTATGTACACATGTTCACACTGCGGTCCCTCTCCATATAAATCAGAAGTGTTGTCAGGGGAGGAAGGAAGATTGATGTTCAGCCCTGTTACTGTGGGCCATCACTGTAAAAACAAACACACACGGATGTACACACTGTTGAAAGCACACACAGACTGACTGACAAGAAAATTAATTAATGTGTGTGTATATTTTCGTAAACATGAAGATTTTAAAATTCAGGTGCTGGTTTCTGTGGCTTCAAACTGCAAGAACACTTCAAATCTGTTTAATATTTTAAGGCACCAAAACTCACTACAACTGCTGCTGCTGGATGGTGGGAGAAGAGAAAGCCTGCTTTTAGCTTTAAAATATGAGAGAATTATGTATTGTATCTGAATTTAAGTGAGTTTGAGATGTGGAGATTTTTCGGTTCAGTCTACTGACGGTAGTGACAATGTACATTTTGTAAAAATCTCTTTCATCAGTTACTGGTCTATGTCCTGTAGCAGCCTCTCTGATGATATGTTTCTGACCTCCTCTTAAGATTTTCTCCTCCAGTGTTCCAAACTTACTTAAAGACCCCTCCACTCAAACATATTTTTTCTTATGTGCATACCCAGTATGCTGACTGGTGTGTATATTTTATCACTGAGGGGCCTTTTTCACATACAGTACCTCTGATTGGGTTTGCTTCAAACATACAGGCATGGCACCCTTACATTTCTGTCAGATAATGCACCACTTCTTCCAGAAAACTGTTGCAGTCACAAATTCTTTGGTATTTTCATGTTTATTTCTTTTGTTTGCATTGGAAAAACACAAAATCTGATCCATTCCACACAGAACTCCAAATATGGACTGGACAGAATTATTAACACCTTTTCAAAATCATCAGAAATAGTTGTATTTCAAGCCTATGATGCTCCCGTAATCTGTAATGAAACTTGCCTGTAGCAATCAACAGCTACTGCCAATATAGAAATCACACTTGCAACCAATTAAAATGGAGAAAAGTTGACTCAGTCTTTGTGTCATATGAAAGAAAGAAGAGCAAAGAATTGTCTGAGGATTTGAGAACCACAATAGTGGAAAAGCATGAACACTCTCAAGGCTACAGGTCCATCTCTAGACTGTTCCTGTGTCCACTGTGTGCAACATTGTCGAGAAATTTACAGCCCATGGTGCTGTAGCTAATCTCCCTGGACGTGGATGAAAGAGAAAAGTAAATGACAGAATGCAACAAGGATTGTTTGAATAGCGGATAAAGAACCTCAATCTGTCTCTGAACCTTTAATAAACATATCCACCTCCTGCCCTCCGTGCGTTGTACTGTATATGTGCCCAGGCCTTCAGCTACACAGTTGACTGTAGGCCACACAACACAATATAAACTAAGACAGTAAAAAATGTTGAAAATGTGTCTTTACAGGACAGGGATACAAAATTGGGTAGTAATCCAGGACCCACTTGATATTGTATTTTAGTGGGGCGTATTCTTAACCAAATTAATCAAATTATTAAAAGCAATTGTCAAACACTGAGTTTGGGAAATTTGGAACCCTTGGGGCTCTTTGGTGGTAATATGGTCTTGCTCATAACATTCATCTTTAGTTGTCTGATGGTGTAGACACCTGCAAGTCATTACTGTGGAAACCAAATCCCCATTGAATTGTTAGTATTCAGGAAGGTGGATAAAACCTGAACATTTGGACTAAGTGCACTCTGAGGAGGGAACTACACACATACAATCAGCACATGTATGACCTGTGTGTGTGTAAAGTGATTTACTGTACTGTGTATCTCTGTCTGATTTTGCTGTTCCATCTACAAGGTAATTCTAAGCTTTTCTATTCCCTCCCCATTGTTTTCTTCCTTTCTCTCTTTTGTTCTTTCATGATGCTCCTGTTTATTTCTCGTCTTTCAGGTCGAGGTGGGGACCATGCCTTCTGGCCGTCTGACACCAACCTGATTGACAGGAGCAGCATCAATGGTAACACACGTGCAGACACACACTGTTCGAATGCTTGACTAAGTCTGACTCTCAGAAAGTATAATTACATTTGGATTCATTATTGTGCCTGATACAGCAATCAGGCCAAATCTCCTGGGAGCTGAGCTGATTGTGTGTGTGTGTGTGTGTGACATTCTGCAGCATCATCACATCATCAGAGCACCTCAGTTGTTTTCTTTGATTACTCAACTCAGTCATGTCTAAACTTACTTTTAATGACTTGCTGCATCCTGACAAGAAGCTACAGCTCACTGATTTACAGTCTGTTAGCACTGTTTCTTGTTTCTTGTTTTATTGCCTCTGGTAGGAAAACTTAATTAGATTTACAATCTTGCCATAAATCAGTGTTTTTACAAACTAAAAAGTAGTTACGGAGAAACAGGATCAAAGGGTATGGTGGCTTATGAATCTTCAGCTTGTAATTTCTAATATAATGACAAAAACAACTATGTTTGATAATAATTTGATACAAGACAGTAACGGAGAAAGCTATGAGCTTCTAGTTTTTTAAAATAAAACAGCACCAGCGTATCCAATTGGAATATTATTCATCTGTTATGATATAGTTGTTGTTGTTATATGGTCCTATTTTTGCTTTATCCCTTTGTTATTTCCCCCTTTCTTTTTGATGAAAGAAAAATGGCCATCGTTGGTTATATTTTAGGGAGGAGGTTTGGCCCTTGGCTGATGATTGGGAATTCTCTTCTGGAAGTGTGTTTAGAGATTTGAAGGATTCTTCTGGCTGCGTCACCACCTCAGTCTCCTCTGTCAGAGGTGGTGGGGTTACAGTGGTTGGCAGTAGAAGAATATGGTGTGGAAAGCATCATACAGAGGGTAGTATGGGGTCTGCTTCTGAAGAGCCAATGTTTGGGAATAGTAGGAGTCATCATCAGCAATTGAAGAACAACATGAGGTTGCTTGAGCCAGAAAGTGCATCTTCAGTTCAATTCAGTTCAGTTCAGTTCAGTTCACTGTGGTTTGTATAGTGCCAAATCACAACAAAAATAACCTCAAGGGACTTTACATAGTAAGGTCTATATTTTACAGTATTAATAAAAGCTTCACCCTTTGAGCAAGTACTGGGCTGCCATCTGCCTTGATTAGTTGGGGTGAGTGGATAGTGAGAAAGAGAGTGCATGAGACAGAGAGAGAGAGTGAGAGAGAGAGAGAGAGAAAAGCAACAGGAAACAACAAACACTGGGCAGGTTAATGTGACTGGTGCCTGCTAATCAGAAACATACAGATCCGGAGCCCGGGATGCCTGCAGAAACGTACAGGGAGAGAGAGAGGAAACAGAAAGTTAATGGCATAATTGCATGGGGAGGAAAGGGGAGGAGAAGAACGGAGAGTATCATGGGAGCCCCCTAGCCATCTAGGCCTACAGCAGCATAACTAAGGAAAAGCTCAGAGTCACCTGAGCCAGCCCTAACTATGGGAGAAAAGCAATCTGGCCAAAGGTAGATAGAAGTAGAATAACATAAAGAGCTTCTTCTTCAGGTCTTCCAACTACAACTCCACATCAGAAAAAGTAGGGACGGTATATAAAATCAAAACTAAAACTGAAAACAGTGATGTGTAAATCATCTGTGTCCTGTGTTAGATAAAATAATCCCTTATTGCCATTGTAACACATATAACAAAATTTTGGAGTGACCTCCAGTCGGTACAGCAATAGAAAAAAACATAACATATGAAATAAGACCATATAAAAAACTTAAGTGCTAGAACAACGAAATAAACAATAGACCTCTCACGTCACCCCACCCCCACCCCCACCTTCACACACACAGGCATATTATATTTTAGCAGTATTAAGTGTGGTAACTGCTGTTGGGTAAAAACTATTCTTGAATCTAGTGGTCCTTGATTTGATTGCTCTGAGCCGTCTACCTGACTGCAGCAGTTCAAAGAGTGAATGTTACAATGTTACATTGAAAACAATGCAGCAGCACATTATATGATGTGATACCTCATCAACTTTATTCTTTTTTCAAAATAAACACTCACTTTAGTCCTGATGCCTGCAACACATTCCAAAAAAAAGGTGGGACAGTAAAGCATTTACCACGATGTGATGTTGCTGTTCCTTTTCACAACACTTAAAAGATGTTTAGGGACTGAGGACACCAAGTGATTAAATGTGTCAGGTGTTATTTTGTCCCATTACAATATTCAAACCAATACGAACATTAAGTGATCTTATTGTTAGTACTAACAGTAATGGAAATCCAGACTGTGTGTATATAGTACTTTATTTTTATTCCTAATGCACATTCCTTTGCTTGATTGCACATTACTTTTTTACTTCTGTTTTCAGCCTTACACTGTTTACTTGCCCACTGCTGCCTTACATAAGGACTTGTACACATTGAGAGCCGCTGTACCACAGTCAAATTCCTTGTGTGTCCAACACACCTGGCCAATAAAGCTGATTCTGATTCTAATATCATAAAAGTAGCCTTTATACTCATGCTAATGCTGCTATTTAACCTCATACCAACACAAATGTTCATGTTAACCTGAATACACATGCATGATAATACACAGCCAATATAAATTTAGTAGCTGCTGACAAAATTACAAATTTTAATGGAAAGGTTATACTCATGCCTAATGCAAATGGAAATATTCTGCTGATGCTAATAGCCCTGAAACTACTGCTAAAGCTAAAGCTGTTGCTAATACCACAAATCATGGACATCACTATAACTGTCTTTTCTCATTTCTGCATGAAGAAAAACTGTCCTGTTTCTCCTCCTACAGAGAGAGTCAGAGGTCAGGGTCTGTAGCTGGCAGTGATTCTGTGTCTCATTGGAGGACAGTAAAGCGGCATGTGTGTGTGTAATAGAGAGAGAGGGAGACTGTTAACATTTTGTTAGTAATCGTAAATTCATCCTCTCTGACCTCTGCCTTCCTCTGGCTTTATGGTGGGTCTGTGAAAATGAAGCCTCATCGTTCAGCATAGCAGTATTTCATCTTTAACATGGTGTCACAGCTTCATCACTCTTGAAAAACCAAGATTCACCTCCAACCTGTCCCATCAGGTCACACTTCTGTTCAACGGGTCTCTGCATTTGTAGTCTGTAGTCTACTCATATGATTAGGTCCAGCTTGTTCATGCTATTAAAGATAGCTGAGCTTTAAAAAAAAATCTAAGTTAGCAGTCATAACTATGATGTAGGTGTTGATGTGAACACTATTTAAAAGGTGAAAACTCATATTTGTAAATCTAATATGAATCAGGCATTATCTCTGGATTTGAACCTTGATGAAGACCTGTCAGTACTTAGACTGGTATGTTTTCTTTATAATGGTAATTATTTCATTAACACATCATCCAATACAGCAACAGCTTTTGCACATTACTCTTGCTCATTATACACAAACATACTGTAAATGTTGTACACATCTGAGTTTTCAGCCCTTTAACACCACCATTTTTATTAATAACAGATTAGTGGGTAATCACCTTGCATTTGAGCATTGTTGTGTTGAGCTTTGGGCTGAACTTTGTAGCTGCTCAGCTTTGTTTCCTTGCTGGGATTTACAGATGGTATGAGGATTTTTGCACTTCCTGTCACCCTTGTGTTGATTCACTGATGTTGTTGTGGCTTCAGCTGGGAGTGCCTTGCTGAAGGGCATGTCAGCACAGGTTGCTAATGCTCTTCATATCAACAGCAGCATACAATATATATTTTAGCCAGTTTTGACTTCCAGTCTGCCAATTGCTGTCACATTCCTGATCCCCAGAAGTTAAACCATTTGATTTTTTAATGACTTCATGACCTCTATTCCACTACCACTTTGAAACATTAGTCATATTTGTTTGAAATTAAAAAAACAAACTTTTACAATGAGCTTTAAGATAGGAAGACAGTAACATCTAACTTCAGAAAAGAAGTGAAAGAGTGATACTGTGATCTCTGTGCTGCAGTTATAAGAGGTGATGGATTATGGTTTTCATAGAGAGTGACGACCAAATGAAGAGTCTTACTTATTCTCTACCAGCTATTACTCCAAAATTTTTCATTATTTTATCTTTCCTCTCTCTGACTTTTGCCTCTTCTCTCTCTTTCTTTCTTTAAGACATTTCCCTGTCCTCTCATCCAAACTTTATGCTCCTGCAGTGCTTCCTGTTTTCTCCTTCTGTGCTCCAAGGTCGAGTTAATGAATGACAGAGCGTGTCATGAATTCCCCTTTCTGCCTTTACACCTGTCATAAACTCACACACACACACGGTGGTCAAATTATAGTTGTGAGGACACTCAATAACATAATACATTCCTTAGCCCTATTCATTAACCTTAACTGTCACAACTAAATGCCCGTAACCCTTACCCTAACCTTAAGCCAGGCCTTTACTCTAAAATGTAATGATTTACATTTTGTTTTCATTAGGAAGGCAAGTACCCAAAATACAACTGTATAGATACAATTCTGTCCCCACAACATGAGCAATGCCAGCACACGCACACATACACACACACTGTGTATTGATTGGTAATGCAGCAGTAGCAGCTTTATGTTTTCAGTCTAGTCCAAACCCTTTGGAATTCATTGTGCAGGCTTTTATTGTGTAGCTTTCTTTCTTTAGTCTGAATAATAATAACAATTTTATTTTGAATATAAACTGATTATATTAACCAAATCACTGAAATCAGGCTGATCACAGAAATTAAATGTATTCATTAGCCTGTATTTAGTTGCATTGTCTGAACTGATGCACACCTCTCCACATTCCAAAATGCAAATAAACATCAGTTTAGATAATTAGAAAATAAACTTAAATGTTAAATGAAAATGTCATAACAGTTTCCACTTCTCAGTGTTGTAAACTAACGCAATGTGTGTGACACCCACTGTGGAAGTGGCCACCAATATTAAAATGCAATGCTTAAACGGGAGTCAAATATAATTCTCCATTTCTTTGCATATCAATTAATGAATTTTTATGTTCACATTAAAAACTGTTACTGCCAAAAACCCATAAAATTAACTCTTAATCGAAAACTATATATAAATTTATTTTTAGTACACGCCTAAGCATAACACTGCCATTTTGACAAAGATATTGTATTTAAGACTGGCTTTTCATTTCACCTTTATTGGGTTTTTAATTTGCATAAGGCTATTTCCCTTTCATATTCCTGACAAAATAGTTACTTTGCAATTTCATTTTCAGGTTTACATTTCTACTAATTTAAAGATGAACATGAAAAACTCCATTGCAAATTCAGGCCAGTATTTTGTTTAGGAATGCTCAAAAAATCATTTGTCAATGGCAAATTTTCATTCTGGCATTACTTGCAAGGTTTTAAATATGAAAACTCTTTAAGTTCCAGTTCTCTTTCTTTCTTTCTTTCTGTTTCAGAGTCTCCCATTGGTCAGATGCATCCACCTTATGGCAGTGCCACGCCTCAAAAGAACAGCAACCTCCTGGTCATCATCGTAGTGTCCGTGGGAGCCGTTACTGTGGTCGTGGTCGTGGTTGTGGCTCTCATCTGCACCCGGCGCTCCTCAGCCCAGCAGAGGAAGTAAGATGTTTCAGTCATATGTGCTATGGCAGTAAACATCTGTCAGGGCAGATGGTAAATGATCTGTGCTTGTTTTGTTTTCTCATAGAATTTCAGTCTCAGATGAGTGTTTGTCCTATCCTATGCAAACCTGGAAATGGTTTCATTTTCTTTCTTTTTAATCCCATTCAGTCTAATTTCATTCTGCCCCTGGCGTCAGCAGCACACAGTAAAATTAGTCAATGAGTCTGTCCTTCTTTCTTACCTGCCTGTTGATTTCCTTAACTGTGTGACCACAGCCCCCAGTGCAATAAATTCCAAATATATCCAGTGTGCATAACATCTTCTCTTTTTTCCCTATGCTCTATCTTGCTTGAAATGCACATATTTTCCTATTTTCTTGTTGCGTTACAAAAGGACACTGAGGGCCTCTGTAACAGAATCAAATTCCATGTGTGTTTAAACATATATGGCTAATAAACATGTTTCTGACTGTGGTTCTGTGTGTCTCTGGTCCTGTTTACAGGAAGAGAGCAAGCCACAGTGCCAGTAAGAGGAAGGGCAGCCAGAAGGACCTGCGACCTCCTGACCTCTGGATCCATCATGAAGAGATGGAGATGAAGAACATGGAGAAAGCTCCTAGTGTCACCCCATCAGGACGCAATTCACCCATCCAGTCATGCCAGGACCTCCTCCAGGTGGCACACAGCCAATCAGAGAGCCAGATTGGCAGCAAAAACAGCCACTCAGGTACAAGCTGGTTGCTCATTCATTTATTCAGTTCCACCAAAATCGCCTTGGTGTTTACAATGCTGAAATTATAAATGCCACTTATAATTTGAGTTTTTCACATTTAAATATTACATATTTCTTCTTTTTTTCATTTCAATGGTACTAAGTCATTAATTTATATCTATTATTGGTCTTGATTAAAATGGCTGTTTAATTCAGCCTGATTCATCAAGAAAAAAAAAATCTATTAAGTGAAAATATATAAATAATTCCAGTTATCTGAGTTCATTTATTCAATTCTCTTTTGGCAGCCAGAACAAATGTAAATTAAAAAATGATTGAACTGTTTTAATATTTGAGTGTTTTAATGTCCCAGGAGCAGATGCTGATGAGGTGTCCAGCAGTATCTCCACTCTGGAGCGCTCCCTGGCAGCCAGGAGGGGAACACGAAGCAAAATGATGATTCCTATGGACTCACAACCAAGCAACACACGTAAGTAACACAACCCTATGTCCATGTTTTCTGGCTGAAGAATTCTTTTAAATGATTTTTGCTTTGCACAAATAGGGACCAATTTTGAGGTGATTCTAGACATGAACTTGCTTACTCTTGAGATGCCTTTTTTTTATTATTTTATGGATGTTCTTTAATCAATTACTGTAATAGTCTCAGGGCCACTGAGTGACAGACTGACAGCCCCTCATAAATTTCCTCCTCCATGTTAGTAGTTGGGAAATTAGCCATAATAAAATCTCAGTGTACAAATCAAATTTTTCCCAGGGGTACTGCAATTTCTGTGGTTTTTGGTACATACTATCACACTGTGTACAAGTGGTAATTTTTCCGATAAATGTGTTTTTAATAAGTTATTTTGTGATATATGTGAAAAGAGGTGTATTTCACTTGATTTGACAGTTTTGATTGGCGCCCTGATTCTGGCACTCTACTTCTAATCGCCACTACACAGAATCAGAGTCTGGTTGCAGAAAACAAGATGGCAGCCACCATATTCAGGATATTTTGGCCTCATTTTTGTATAGAGAAGGGAAGTGGTAATACCATATCCATCACATACAGTGAATGCTCAGGGCTTGTAATATTGAGGCATCTCAGAGTAGAGAATTGGTCCTTTCTGCAACTTTCTGGAGTCTTCACTGGTTGCTTCAGTCAGAACAAAGGAAGTTTGATACTTAAGCTTTAGAGGTGCTGTTAGGTGGATTTTGTTGCCTTTGGAGAGATCCAGATTACCCCCTGTTCCTAGTTTTTATGCTAAGATAAACTAACCACTTATCACAGCATTTATCATACAGACATGAAATTATTGATCTTATCATATATTTTTTGGCAAGAAAGTAAATAAGAGTGTTTCCTAATATGTTGAACATTTTCTTGAATACTCTTTTTTAAAATAGGTCTATAGATGCTCATTAAATACTGCATCCTTACAGGCTCTTTAACCCAGGACCAAGCATCAACTGAATATTGTTTACATCAACACGGCTTACTCATTTTTCAGTGCGAGCTGGAGGTGAGGTGGAAATAGATAAACGAGGAGGCTAGTGCAAGCTAATGCTGCAAGCGGTTGTGACACTTTGCTGTCATTTGCTGTTGAGGGTGTCTGGTCAGGGTTCAGTCGTTGTTGCAAAGCAGAGGGACATGGACTCTGTCTGTGAACAAATAAACAGCCTTTTCCAAAAGCCTGGCGACAGACGGGAACAACAACTACAATCATAATATACAACTGTACAACTGTAGCAAAGGCGGCGACAGCTGTAGCCTCAAAATCTTTAGATGATATAAACAATAAATATGCAGGATAAAAAGTGTTTATTGACTAAAATATAACTAAAACTAACAAAACTCAAAAGAGTAAAATTTGCCTTAAACTAATATACATTTTCCTCATAAGACTAAGACTAAAACTGAAGTACCAAAATTAATACTAGTAACATATCTGTTAGTTGATCTCATCGACAGCAGCCTACTGGAAAAGTCTAAATGTTTCTGAACTGCTGTTCATATTATAACACTTGAATTTTTCTATTTGAATGAAATCTCCACTGTTGTTCTTTCCTTTTGTTATTTAGACACCTGCTGTGTCTTAAAGCAACAATCACACTTCACTGCTGTTTTGAGTGATGAGATTATGTGCTCACTCCTGGTTCTGGGGAGTCACAACGCTGCATATTTTCTCTCTCAGCTAAAGTGTGGGGTTTTGAGTCGATCGGGAGTCGGTGCCTTTCAGCTCTTGACTGGCTGAACACATCTGATCTTGCTAATCAGCTGCCGGGGTAGCTCATCATGCTCCCACCCTGTTCCGTCACACTGCTTAGGTCTGTCATCTCCATAATGCCCTTTTCTCATCTGTCACACCACTTTTATTTCCGTTACGCACATCAGTACCTTTTCTTCACACATGGATAACATTAGCTTGATTTAATTTGGATTGAAATTTGTTGCATGACTGTTGTCATAGCAATGAGTGCTTAAGGCCAAACCTGCAAAAGTGCAGGCTCACTCACCGCTAACTGACCCATACACACAGTCACTGTCAGATACAAACGATTCATTTTCTTAGAGGGATGGTGAAGATGATTTAGATGAGGTGTCAGTTTTTAGAAAATCATTACAATCTATTGGGCATTTACTCAATTTTCACACTAATTGATCATATACACTATAATACTTATATATGATCAAAAATGTAGCACAAAGACAAAACAAAATAGTTATCCCTGATTGAGAACCAACCATTAAAAATACGATATTTTCAATAAAAACTCTGAGTGTCAAAACTGAAAATATGACATTTATTTATGTATGACACTGTGACTGGGTTTTGTTGTTTTTGCAGTAAAACTAATTAACTGTAACTGCTTTATGAGCACAGACTGTATTCACATACATTGAAACAATAAATGATTTTACATTTAATTGGAAGAACTTCAGTAACTAAAGGTACATTTTTAAATAGAACCCCAAATCAGAAAAAGTTGGGATGGTATGTAAAATTAAAACTGAAAATACTGATGTGGAAATTATCTGTGCATCAAGTTGATGAGATATCGCATCAAATGTGCTGCTGTATTGTTTTCAATGTGATGATGATTGATGATGATTTACAAATCAATATTTTCAATTTTAATTATGATTTTACATACAGTACTCTCCCAACATTTTTTGATTTGGGGTTGAAACCAAACAATGTTACTAAAACTTGGCAATGTAATCAAATCTTATTTATTATTCACTCATAATACTTAAGTAATTATAGAACAATCACTGAAGGGTGCAAACATTGTGGAGCACAGTCTCAAGTACTAGGCCTGTCATAGGCCTCCCAGCACATCTATCAGCCATCATATTCATGGTGGTTTCAGTTCTTATGTTGCTTTTGTTTGAAAATATGAGCAGATTGTTGTTCAAGATGAGCTGATAAAATGTAAAAAAATAAAAAAAATAAAAAAAATCAATCCTCTGTCTGCGTTCCAGCAGCCCACTTTCTGTAGCTGGATGAGAATCAAAAGGACCAGTGTAGCCTAATAACAGCCTATTAGTCTGAATTAGTTAAGCCACATCTCCCTGCCTGCATCACATTCATTTGTCAGCTCCATGACTGCTTCCTCAACAGGCCTGTCACACCTCCTCTGCTCCATCATGTCCCCCCAGCATCTCAATCGCGCTATCTTCGACACTGTCATACGCCTGTCAATTCTATCACACACCCTTAACTACATCACACTCCAGTCAGCTTCGTAATGGCTCCTTGAACTCTGTCAAACCATCGCCTGTTCCTGTTACACTCTTTTATCTACATCACCCTCATCAGTGCTGTCGTTCTCTTATATGCTTTATGGTTGTGTTAGTACCCCAGCACCTGTTCTGTCGTATTTCCATCATCTCCTTAACGCCCTCTGTCAGCTCTGAGATCGTGGTGGATGCAGCTATAGATACAACCACCTGTCTGTTTGAACCTGCTCTAGTTCACCAACAGACCAATGTGGAACATCTCTAGTCTCAGTGACACCACATCACATCCATGAACCAGTTTTCAGTTTGTGCAGAAGCAGGCTATCTAATCTCTGGGTTATCTATCTCTGTCTGTGGAGTGTGTGTGCAGTCGCATCACTCAGAGATGAAAGTTCCATATTGTAATCATCCTGCTCATAGTCTGTCTCCGTGTCTTGAAGGATTCTGCCTTTGTTTCTCCTGTTTATCATTCTTCTTCACTGGTGTTGTTTACTGCAGTTGTGGCAAACTGCTGCTGCTGCACTGAACAGTAACAATCAGGTTATAAACACTGTGGTTATTCCCGGATAGTGTGATTCAGTGGCTGGCTGATCATGTTTTCAAGCATGGAACGAGCACTACTGTGCATTTGCATAAAAGTTTGCATGTGCATGTGATATGTAGGTCACAGTAAAACAGGAAAAACCCTTCAGGCCTCCTCTGCCAACACACAGACCTGCCTTGATCTATTATTTTTCTCTGTCTGTTTAGGTTTCTGTCGTGTTTTACACTTCATAACATTTTGTTAAGATTCAAGAAGAGTTCTTCATTCTGTCTCCACTCCTCTTTCACAACTTTTAACAAAAAAGTACAATACTCATCCATTATGCCTATAATTATGGTATGGTTATGATTAACAGCATAAATACATATATCTTTTGGACACCAAATGGTGTAAACTATCATATATATCCTGAAAAGAAAGTTTTCCTCTCTCTGTCAAAAGAAACAAGAATTAATAAGAGATCATTGTTGAAAGGAAATTACCAATTATCAATATATTTCATACAGAAATGAAATTTATTGTAATAATACTGAAACCTCTTTTGACATGTGTTTCTTTATTAAAACATGCTGATATATATTATATTAGATTATTATTATTATTTTTGCTTCTAACTCCATACATAATGCCTACCTCTCCATCACATCTACCATCCACCAAGGTCTGATCTGGATCCAAGTAAGATTCACTACGGTGAGAGAACAAGTGATGCAACTAAGATCAATTTGTAGCCAAAACTCTGCTGTTTCACCCCATTCATGAACTGCTCGATTTGCAGAAAGCTTTTTTGTTTTTAACAAAATTTGTCGCACTATAAGGGAAACTTTTAAAATAATTTGTTCAGCTATTTATAGATGAACAAAAAAGGATTGACAATATCATGAAGGATGTTCTTGAGATAAAAAAAAAACAGTTTGCAGTTCTCACAGGAGGACTGGGATGATGTTGACAGAAATCTTAATGACTAGTCAGCCTGAAGAGTATGTCTAGTGAGTTTGCATCCATCTTTTGACAAACTTTTTGCAAGATCCTAGTCCCTGGAAATGCAATCCAAGAGGAATACCATTATTATAAGGAGCATTCCTGAAGCAAGAAGCAACACAGCAAACCACAAAAGGAAAGGTTAAACAGCTGCTTATCGATAAACTGGAGTTGGAGCCAACATTTAATAAAAATGGAACATGTACTGTATATTGCA